GGTTTAGGGGTTTAAGGGTTGGGGTTTAGGGCATTTGGGGTTTTGATTTAGGGTTCTGGGGTTTCAGGCTTTGCGGCTTATCCATACCCTGGATTGTACTACCTCTTGCTGGATACCCCATCGCACGGTTCCAAAGCGGGACTACATTTAAGGGTCTAGGTAGGGTCCAGGGTTTGGGCTCTTGGCGCCAACAGGTTTGAACCCTAAACCCTAAACCCTAAACCCTAAATCCTAAACCCTAAACCCTAAACCCTAAACCCTAAAACCCTAAACCCTAAAACCCTAAACCCTAAACTGGAGAACGCTTGGATGACATCCAGGCCTGAAAGAACAGAATAGCTAAAGCCTGCATACAAATGCCCGTTAATTAAACTGTTAGCAGTTCTTTGGGACGTGTTCGTGTTGGTTGAACTCGGTTTTGGTCTTCTCATGTCTTTTGGGACATTCCGCACAGTCGATCTGTGGGTGCAGAGGGGGTCCTGCATCTTGGGTTTAGGGTTTAGGGTGCAGGGTAATGTAGGACCTGTAGTTATGTTGGGATGTTGTTTTAGGGATTTAGGATTTAGGGTTTAGGGTTTAGGGCTTTGGGTTTAGGGTTTAGGGCTTAGGGTTTAGGGTTTAGGGTTTACAGGATTCTCGCGAGATCTAGGTTGAGGAGTTTAAAACTTTGGGTTCTGAGGCTTGGGGGACTAGGGTCTGGGTGTTCGGGTCTTCCACTCTCAACCCGCGCAACTTCAAATAAGGGTTTAGGGTTTAGGGTTTAGGGTTTAGGGTTTAGGGTTTAGGAGCGTGAAAAACTGCACGTAGAAATAGCTCTTCATTGCCATTATTTCATATTATGAACCCAGGGCTTTAGTGTGTCTGAAGGGCTTATGGGGGAGTGGCCTTTTGTTGAGCCAACATCTAAACCCGAATCTCTTACCCTTGCAAGGTAAACCCTACCTTAACCCCAAATAACCTTCCTTCTTAAGGACATATCTAAATCAGATCATTATGAACCAAAATAAGGAAGGTGTTAATAGGGTCCTGGTGTTATAAACCCTAAACCCTAGACCCAAAACCCTAAACCCTATCTCACACCGTGTTTTATGCTCAAAGTTTAGGAGCAGTTTCTGCAGGTGCGAGGGTTTTGGCCGACATGACCACGCAGCTCTTTCTCGTTTCAGTTCTTGTAACCAGGAAGGCTCATATATATATATATATATATATCTATTTATTTTTATACACACACACACCCACATACCTACTACTACCATGGCATTAGGTCCCCCAAAACGACGCCCTGGCCATCCCGAGCTTGAAATTCTGCGGTTTGCCGTAGTACATGGCCTTGGGGTTTAGGCTTCGGTAGCTGGGCAGGCGGTTCCAAAGCGACGCTTGCTATGGCTAGTAGCCTCGCAGATGTTCATGCCGATGAGTCGGGGGAAGATGCCCTGGCTTTGTCCTCTCGGAAGGTCGGCGCCATGGTATTTCAGGGTTCTGTAAGGGTTTGCAAAGGGGCTTTGTGAGAGTTCTAGCAGTGTTCTATTCATGCAAATCGTATGGGGATCCTTTAAAGCAGCTAGGCCACGCGTAAGGCAAGCCCGAACCATCATAAACCGTATAACTCTTGGACCCTCAACCTTCAGAGCCCCTAAATCCTGATCCAAAGGGTTTAGGGTTTAGGGTTTAGGGTTTAGGGTTTAGGGTTCCGAAAAAACCCTAAATCCTAAACTCTGAACCTTTAAGTCCAGGTCAATCCCAAGCCGCGATGCTGGTGCCGGACTACCGTCTTAGCTTCTACGGCCGCCTTAATCTGTGCGGCTGGAGCCCTTGGCGTTTGGTCGTGCCTGTGGCTCGAACTTTTGAAACTACCTACTGTTTTGGAGGGTTACGTATTTATATGTATATAAAATATATACACTGTTTTCTGATGTATGTATGTCATTAAGGAATCGTAGCCTGGGGCTCGAAATCGCTCAAGCTAGGCACGACTTATGGACTCTAGTCCACAAGAGCACCTTAAACCGCCATAACCACAACCTGCTTCTTTGTAGGTTCCTATTATGAAAGTAGGTTTTGGTAGCTCAAGGTACTGGAGGGTACTATTTGCATACGTGAAGCCCAAAGGCCCTGGGTGTAGGGCCGTGGCAGGCTACCAAAAAACGCCTATATAAACCCTAAACCCCAAACCCTAAGCCCTCCAAAAACGCCTAAGCAATTTGGGGTTTAGGGTTTAGGAATTACCCCTCTTCTCCTCCGGATGCCTGACTATAACCCTATAATCGATTTAGGGTTTAGGGTTAAAAATCGCCAAAATCCTATGAGAGTCGTCAAGGCCAATACGCTAGAGAACCCCATTTTCGATCCCTCTTCTCGACTCCTCTAAGGAAACCTTTAAAGATTAAGGTTAGGGTTTACGGTTTAGTTTAAAGGAGGCCTTGTAAAGCTACTGCTGCCGCTACATCACAGGTGTGGCTGGCGGCGACCTGGTCGACTGTTCCTTTTGCAATCCGGGTCGGGGTCGCTGCCTCTGCTCTGCACTTAATATAAAAGCGTAAAGGATTCGTAATGATTTTTTCCTTAGGGTTCCTCATTATCATAGAACTACAACAATGTTCAGTATACCGCCAAATGCTATTCCAATTATTAATGCCTTCTTAGGGCCCTAGTGGACGCTTAACCAAGATTTCTTGCACGAGATACTCCCGTCATTGTATCCCTGCAAGTATCATGCACGTCCGTATATTGAAGTCAACCGTCCCTGCACAAACCCTGTAACTACGTTTTGGCCTGAAAGTTGTGGGCTTCGGCTGTCTTTGGGCTTAGTGTTAATTGCCCATGACAAGTAAGGATCGGCTTAAGCCCGCTTGGGCCGGATGCGCAGAAAGTCGTGTGCACGATGGATGTGGCGCAGATGGTTAGCCGCGTGATTCAGATGTCCAATGCCATCTACGCGTCTACGCGGAACTGCGATTATGATAAGATTCGACGACTCAAGGGCAGAGGGCCCACGTCTTTGGAGAAAGAGATCTGCACCAGCAGCATTTTAATTGCAATGTTCAATTCCCAGCTACTGACCGGCCTGTTCACGTCGTCGGTGTCATCCTGCACTGGCAACCTCCACGTTCCGGCCAACTGCGGTACAAACATCGCGGCTTTCGTGGCAGCCGTACTCATCATCCTACAAGGTGCCCGGCTTGCTCTCGCTTATAAGGTCTCAGGGATGCAACCCGAAATATCAGATCGTTTTGAAAGCCGCATGTTTTCACATGTAAACCGTAAACCCTTTTCTTTGGGATACCTTCTATGTATCCCTAGAAGAATCCTAAATGCTAAACCCTAAACCCGAAACCCTAAACCGAAAGCCAAAGCTCACTAAGGTGCCATTGACATCGACATCAGCTGCGCCAAGGACTTCCATGCTCCCTACGACTTTGAAGCCAAGCTGCTGGCAAAACGTGCTCGCCTTGAGAGGAAGAACGGTTTACGGTTTATGGGTTGAGCGTTCAGGGGTATTATAAGTGCTTAGAGTTTGAGGATTTGGGGTTAAGGCTTTATACAAAGGATAAGTGCTTAGGGTTCAGGGTTCAGGGGTTTAAGCGTTTAAGCTTTAGGGCCTTTAGGGTTCGGGGTCAAGGGCTCGACTCGACTTGAGAGGAATCAGGGTGTGGGTTTGTAGGGTTTAGAGTGTCCGGCTCGGGGCTTCTAGCTGTGGGGGGGGGGGGGGGGGGG